CCCCCGATCATGGAGGCCATCAGCTGAAGTGATCTTCCCCCCATGCCGCAGAGGCCTTCAGCCGAAACGGCCCCTCCCTCTCTGGGTTCATACCCCAGAGACCCAACCAACCAAATTCCTTCGACAACTTGCCTGACAGGATAACCTCCCATCAGCAGCAACAAATCCCAGTTTGAATGGTCGAGGCTCCCGCCACGACGAAACCCCGTTAGCGTTAGCAAAATTTCCGTTCTTATATTACGACCGTTTACCATTTCCAGCAATGCGTCTTGTGCGCAGGAATGGTTTCACCTAGGTAGGGACGATGCTTGCGCTTGCGCAGGCCTCTGCCCTCAGTTAGCTTCTTTGGTTGGTTGGTTGGTTGGTTGCTTTGAGAGTAGAGTTGGAAAGAGAGAGTGTTGTAGAGTGGAGTTGTGGTTGGAAAGGGAGAGTGTGAGTTGCAAGCGATATGCTGTTGCGGACACTGGTGTGACGACGAGTAAGGACGGGGCGGCTGAGGAGCCAACGAGAGGTCTGGTGTGGCGCCGAGTAAGGACGGGTCGGCTACGTGAGCGAGCACCGGGTACGTGGACCGGGGCGGCTGAGGAGCCAGCGAGAGTCCAGTGGGGTGCTACGGGCCGACGCCGAGTAAGGACGGGTCGGCTACGTGAGCGAGCACCGGGTACGTGGACCGGGGCGGCTGAGGAGCCAGCGAGAGTCCAGTGGGGTGCTACGGGCCGACGCCGAGTAAGGACGGGTCGGCTACGTGAGCGAGCACCGGGTACGTGGACCGGGGCGGCTGAGGAGCCAGCGAGAGTCCAGTGGGGTGCTACGGGCCGATACCGAGTAAGAGAAGAGTGTGAAGAGCGGAGCTCGGAGACCAGATAGACTCGATGGACAATGCGAGAGAATGTGTGTGTATGTGTGCACAGAGACTCGAGTGTGTTGTTGTAGAGAGTTGACTGTATGTGCAGACCACTGTAAGTGATTTAATTTGACGTGAATAAATCAGGGTTGACAATCCAAGGTCGCAACGCCGACCCACGTTACAATATTTTCCTACTGTCATTTTTGGGTAACTTTGTAATTACTGTCTCAAAAGCAAAACTTATTTCCATTACAGACTAAAATTTAGCACAATTTAAATAAAATAATAAACAGTATGAACTACACTGGATAAGTTTAAATAGCAAGAAGATGTATTTATCATATGCAGTGTTTAGCAATTTTAAATTGTAAGCCAGCACTATATGTGTTTTACTGATATGCACAACTAATCACCTTCTTAATAATATTTATTGTCCTCCATCAAAATGAACAAAGTCAGTTACCAGCCCATTAAAAGTTGCTATTCCACAGAGACATAGTCTCCCCTCTTTGCAACAGTAATAAGTGAAAGTTGGATAATGTTAAGTAAAAGCATTAAAACCATACACAATACTTTGTTTACAAATAGTGTAATATTATTGGGAAAGAAATTGACATCAGCATTTAAATGGTGCTTTAAAACTTTACACATTTAGGCCTAAACTTCATAATCTACTGTATTAATCACTACACAAATGTCTACCCCAATTATTTAAAGTTACAAGTTCTCATTATAATGTTTTCAATCAACAATTCAGCTTATGAGAATTTATGTCTGATTCTGCACAAACCCAAAATCTGTTTCTTAACACTAATTTTAACCATAACCAAGTGGTAAAAATTAGAGTCAGCAATGATAATATTATGGGTTTGGCAGATAAGTTTTCAGCTCTCGTATTTCCTTTTGTGGGTACACAATATGTTCTAAAACTTTAAAACGATGTTCTGGGAAGAACTTATGATACCTACTTTCCTTCAAACGTGTTATTAATGTGATTACAGCAAGAATTACAAATTAATAATTATAAAGTTTAGCAATAAGTATCTGGACATAATTTTCACTAGCATTGCATCTGTTACCAGAGGTTCGAGATTCAAATATGTTTCCAGAAACTGAGATTTTTTCCCTAGCTTGATTTTATCTCATTACTTACATTTTAATTTAGAAGGCAAAGAGTGTTTGCAGGAAAGATAGTAACATCCTACAAATTTCAAAAGGAACACGAAGAAAGACAAATTTTTCTGACCACCACTCAGGTCAAACAGTTGGTTATATGACTGAAATCTATTCATTTCAGACTTCATTAATTTCTTGTAACTATAAATATGTTATAGGTCACCCTTATTGTGTTATTTTAATGTTTATAATCCATCTCGATGCAAAATTTCATATTCCTAGCTCTAACGATCCATTAGTTACTGCTATTAAACTGAAAGCTAAAAAATATTCTCACTACTACATCCACATTGCTTTTTACATTTTACAAAAAAAACTGCCTCAACAAAAGATCCATCACCATACATCATTTTGAAATCCAGTATTAAGTGGCATCTAACATGTCTTTTGTTACTGTAGGAAATTAAAATATTCAAAGCTGGGGTAGCCTCTGATTTTGTATTGCTCATACCAAATTGTTTAAGAATCGGTCAATTAGTTTAAAAGCTGAATGACACACACACACACTCACTCACAGATAGAATGATAATCAATAAGCATACATTTTTCCTTAAGGAAGGAAAGTAGGCTAAAACCTAATGCAAGCAGAATGGTAAAACACAAACTAAACACATAAAATTAATATAAAAAATAGAACACGTTTGTTAATGTATCAAACAATGACAAGGGTGACACTTTATGTCTGAAGAAACACAATGAAGGCTGAAAAAACTGTGAACAAGTAACCAAGTGCTTAATCCCCCAAAGAACACATTCACATTTAAATACACAAAATGCTCACATTTTAAAAGAAATAACTGTGAAAAAATTATTTCCCAGATGTTACACACACACACGCATACAGACAGAATGTAAAGTTCCCAACTTCATTTCTTATAAGCTGGATCCCCAAGAAGCAAATTTGCAACAGATCATCCAGCCAGGAAGAGTGTATCTTATTCATGCAGTAAGATAAGCGTAAGCAAATTATGTGCCTTATTTTACAATTCTAAATTAGCCACAAAGTCATAACAGGTAAAGACTGACTTCTTGCATCACCTAGTGGAATGTCATCATCATCATCATCATCCTCAGTACTTCGTGGGATGGGATTAGTTGCTGGAATCGCTGCTTCTTCCTCGTCATCACTGAATGTTGGTTCTGAATCACCAACATGATTATTAGATGGTGTATGATTCTCTTGGCCATCCAACATTTGTTCTATAGGTTCTTCCTTTGTGTTCAAATGAACAGCTGAGTTGAAGTCTTCTTTACCTTCAAATTCAGTACACACACATGTAAAGTTATTAAACAACAAACATTTTTAAAAACATACTACATAAAAAACTTTTATATAAAAACAGAAATTTTATTATTCAGTTTGCTCATAACTACAAGAATCTGGTCATCCAACAGAGAACAGAGTTATACAGCATTGTAATTATTTATAAATCAGGATAAATCTGCTAACCACTAGGTTCTTGCAGTACACAGTGTTTCTACACCTGTTTCCTTTAGCACTATGCTCATATTTTACAGGACATCCTGCAATAGGATGCCCAAAGTTCAAGAATGTGTTTTTGGGCTCAATTCAAGCAACAAAGTTTTAATAAATACATGTCTGAAAGACAATCATTTGGAAGATATGGCATTTTAAGAATTAAGGTTGTTAATGGAATAACTGTATGAGTAATTTACATCTCACTAAGTTTATTAATTTAATTTACATAAACACAAATAATAAAGACATTCTATTAAGTAGTTACTAATGCCTATACCAGCAAAATAAAGTGACCAACTACAAATGTATTTTTCAAGACAGTCTGTAAATCAGAACAGCCTTCATGACAAAGAAAGTGCAATTAAATAGCTAGTTAGTGATTAAAAGAACGACAAAGAAAACAACGATATATGTCACTGGAGACAAATAGGTCAATAATTGATGATGCAATGCAGTAGAATTACAAGTATAATAGAAATAAAATTACCTTCTGTAGTTGGTGGGAGGCAGAATTCCTTGAATGCTTCTCTGACCATTGTTCTCAGTTCTCGGTCAAGCTTTGGATTATCAAAAAGGGGAAATAAAGTTGGTAACACTCTTTTTTCCAATATTTGGCGAAGAGATGAAAAAATCCCAGCACGCACTTTGTCAGCTAACAAAGGGTAAAAATTTGGAATGATCTGAAAAATAAATCCAGTATGACAAACTTCAGCATCAAAATCAAAGAGAATGAAAAGTTAAGAAATTCCTATACAACAAAGCATTAATGTAACACACTTACTCTGCATAAAAAATCAAGTAACGTGGCTGTGACAGCTGGATGTGATCGCATTGAATGATGCATAACAAGAATGGCTGGTTCTGGAACAAAAATATGAAGACTAAGTTATTATGGCAAAAGAATTTGGTATATATTAGACCTCTGCCAAGCCATTTAAATCCAAAATATCCTGCAACTGTCAGTCCAGTTATGTAAGTAATTTTTATATAGTATATTTTTGCATGATAAGTGCTGCAGGGGACAGTTAATTTTATTATGAACTACTGCATTAGGCATGGCTGAAGATGAAGGGGATGAACACAATAAAAATGGTGACATTTCATCTAAGAAATTTGATAAGGAGAAAATAGAACTGGATCAGTGAAATTCAATGACAATTGAGAAAATAGGTGCAATATAGGAAACAAAAATGAGTAAACTAAAGTGACTGGAATATTATGCAAAATGTAAGATGTCCGTGTCCCAAGAAAACTATGATTATCAACCCAAAAGGAAGGACAGGTTACAAATATGAAATGGATGCAACACGCCATATTTTAAAACTTATTACAGCTTAACAAGTAAATAACACACTGAATAACCAAGGTTGAATTCCTGGAAATGCATGATCTGTGGTCCACCCAGTCTGTGGTCCAAAGGGTTTCTAGAACTCCAATGGGGTAAAATGGAGCAAAAAGCTGACCATTCACCTCAACTAGTGTTTAAATAAAGAATGAGTGGAATTTCACTTCCATTCCCTAATACATTTTCACAGCACAGTGCAAAGTGCATGGCATATTGGTCTGTACATTCACTTGTATGTCAAGAAGGACTGTATGAATCACCCTCAGTCTAGAAAAGGTTTCATAACTCCAACCACAATACTGTTTAGAAAAGTAAAATGTCATAAAGCCACACGTATCTGAATCCATTAGGCAAATAAATTGACACTCACCTATATTCATGATGTTATCCTTATCAGCCTCAAAAAACAACCAGTCATAGAAAAGTGCAAGTTTTGCATTGGATGCAGCCACACTTGAGGTGCATGTTGTCAAAAGCCAACCAATGACTGCCCATCGTGGGATTATGTCTGAACAGAGCAATTCATTTGTTGGATGAATTACTCCGACAATAAAACGGATTAAGTCACAGCGAAGAGACTGTGACTCAGGAGTAGCCAAATACTGTAAAAAATTAGAATAGTCAATATAAATACAACCAGTACAAAATGTATTATTCTCCTACCATCAGAAAATTCAGTAGTGTGACAAGTAATGAGATGGAGGAAAGGTGACTAGGGGGAGATTAGCAGTGCTGAATATCCGGACTATTCTCGTGACCTGTCCTTAAATAAAACTCAGTAAATATCCCGGATCAGTAAACTGTACAACATATATCATTAATGCATTATTTTCTTATAGTTCACTGAAATCTAAAAGAATTTTAACAAAATAAGATTCAATGTCTGATTAATTTTTATTGCTTATTTCTTGAAAAGGAAAAATGTAAGTATATCAAAAATATCTGATTGCATGTCTTTCCCACTTATGTATTTTTTTTACCTATGGAACATTTCTATCACATCAGCAGTATCAAGCAAAAGTCTTGAAGTATGGCAGACACAAACAATAACCAATATGGGAGTGGACAGACTGTGGTAATGTCATCTAGTACTGTATATGACTGCTGTTTCAGAGAAACATATCACTTCCATCTTCAGGGTAAAAGAAGGCAATACATTCCTCCAAAATGTTGGTAATCACCTACATGACTATACATCACAACCAAGAACAAAATTCACATTTTTACTGCTATGAAAGCCTCAAACCCCAATCAACATATTTGTTTCAAACTTGTGACAACTACAATGGACAACTATAGACCTCTAAACTGGCTCTCCACTTTAACCACCTTTTCACCAAGAGTTTCTTCAGATACAGTAATTATAGTAATCAAAAATTCAGACAGACTTGTTAATTTATTTTCCTTTGATAATGTATTAAATTATTTACCTATTAAAGTTCCATGTCAAATATTCTTTTGATATGGTTTTAAAAGAAACTTTTCCACTATAACAGTATATTGTATGGCAAATCTGTGACAAATCACTGCTACTTTTAATAAATGCCAGTAATAATTTTTCACTATCTGCTGCATTTTTGTTACCTTTTACAATATTCATTTACCATTTCTCCAAACAAAGAACCTAACTCCAGAATAAAGGACTTTCTGATTAACTACCCTACCACTTGGTCCTACTTATGATGCTTAAGCAGGAGTCCACTGAATAAATTTTATGCATAATTAAAACAACAATAAAGACACCATTTTGATATACATTTAAAAAACTAAACATCAACAACATGGCTTTAAATTCTTCTTAAAGTGGACTGTTTTCTCTTACCTGCCTCTGGAACCATTCTTGATAGCGTTTGTGATACCCAAAGCGAACTTGTGATGTAAGGAATACCAACTTTCTCTCCATATCAGGTGTAAGACGAGATTGCAGAAACCTCCTTGATGTTCGTGTCTGAAGCAATTGTAATATACCTATGGAAAAAATTTATTGTACATTATGTCTTCACATTCTGTCCTTCCTGACCACAAAACCTATTCGAGCCCAATTACAAATAGCTGTGACATTAACTCTTGACATTAGAATACACAGAGCTCTTGCACAATATGTATTTATACTAATGGTGTTATGCAACAATAAAAATGGAGCAAGGTTTTTCAAGAGTACAACTGAATTACACATATTTAATTTTAATTTTAATTTTAGAATATCACACAGACAAACAGAACATAATATGGTAAGAATGTGTTTAACCCATGGCATTTTACAATATCTTACATGGTCAAATTAAACAATTAATATGATGAATCAATTTGCTTCACAAGTCCTCTTATCTCAATTTCCACCGATAAAACCAGCATTTACAAATATCACTTGGAGATACACAATGCAACTTTCTTTTATTACTGTGGACATTTACTTATGTTCACATAGCAAAAGTATTGAGTCCTATCTTATGTGTGTTTATAGTGAAGCAAAAATGTTCACTCAAAAGATCTGATGAGTACTGAAATTATAAAAAATATGCCTTAAGAAAGTTGTAAGAGATTTTTAATCCCAGCTGTTAACTAGATGCACTGTAATGTGAATGGCTTAAAATGAATTTAAGATATTTAAATAAATTCTAAGCTCACTCAGTTATAATTTATTCACTACTCTTTTTGTTATTATTTAGACAATAGGGAACTCTTATATATGACTCACAATATGAGAAAATAAGACTACGTTATAATAATTAAAAACTTTATCTATGTGCTGACACCAACCAGGACAGATGGAAACGTAAGAACCAACAAAACAGTCCTTTACATAATTAAGTACATCCTTATGTTTTATATTATGTGTTTGGCAATTATTTAACTCAAAGAAACATGAGAATTACATGAAATTCTTTCATAAATAAGAGCAATAAAAATCATATTACAACACTGCTTTCAGTTTTGACAGGCCTTTTAACTTGTAATAACTGACATCTTAATACTTACCTGTGAATGTTGGACAAAGAGATTTGGGATTTGTAAGGAGATCTCTCCAGAGTTGGTCAAATTCTGGAATACGGGCAACATTTTGAAGAAGTCTAACAAAGTCTCGACCAATCACAAGGCAATCCGCAAAACGTTCCCTGATAAGCGTCACCACAAAAACAACTTCTTTATGTCTTAATGGAGCCAATGCTGGGACAGCATGGTCTTCAATAAGGCGCAAGTAAGCATACACTACAGAAGCAATCAACACTGGGAACTTGTCTAACCACGTTCTGAAACAACCAAATTATAGACTCCTGTAGAAAATGTTCTGACTTAACTTAAAATATGCACATCAGTAATATGAACAACTTGTTGTAAGTTAAAAGTACACACACTACTGTAATTTAGATATGAATATAATTCTTACATCTACACACAGCATTCACTAACATGTAATGTAATGTAATGTAATAAAAACATTTATTACATATGATGTATCCCTAAAAATTGAATATTTAAACTACAAAGTAGTAATCAGTCTGATACAAAAAACATCGAGTAAAACCACTAATATATCAATGTTTAATCTTAAGTATCTTAAGTATGGTGCATGTTTTTGATAAGAAACACTGTACATAGTGGCGGCGTGTCAATATATGCAACACCCTTAATTTTAGTTTTGGTAAAATTAAAATATTGACATGATAAAATATATTTTTATATCAGTTGCATAGTCACACAGCAACAGTGACAGTGGTTGGGGAGTTAAAAATGTGTAAATATCAACAATGCCAACAATCTGACAGTATTCCAACTTTACACTAATTTAATTTATGGCATGCTTTCATAAAAGTTTTTCCACAGATGTCATAACAGGCCCTTAGCAATATGCTACAAAAACAATGTATACCTGTTTTCTTGGTATATATCCAATAATGCTTCAATAAGCATAATATTTCGTGAAGAGACATCACCTCCTGCTGCATGCCTCATTAAATTCCAGCAAAGGTTATCTACATTAGTGACTGCATTTCGAATCATTTCTCTTACAAGCCATAATACTTGAGTCCGTACTGTGTCAGTGAGGCGAAGGTAGCGATCCAGAATAAGCTGGGTTAAATGACTCAAAACCAGAGTGAGACCATCACGGGTGATTAGGGTAAGATCACGATAACTCTGAAACAAAATGTAACAATGAATTTGTTGCCTTACATCCATTTTAAATTTTTTAATATTCAACAATACAATGTGATCTCAGTTCAACATCTTCACATACACATAAGTAGCAATTCACAATTCTATTTTAAATCTGCACACCATTAAGTGAAAATAAATATTCATCTATTAACATTTTGAGAAATATCTTAAGGGAAGTTTGACTAACTTTAATTTTGCTACCAAATACTACCTCATTTAGCAATCTTTTAAAACCAGCATGAAAGGTGTGGTTCTTCATAAACTTACTTCAATGGAAATATTTTCATGTATCTATAACATCAACATGTTCTCAGTATCATGATTAGCCCTCTCAACATGTCTCAGTGCTTGTTATGTGCAGTTGTAAGTTGTAGCCAATAATTTTTAAGGCTACAAAAATTTTATTTGCAAATTCCCTCCCACTGTCAAGGCTTGCAACACTGACAATGCTCTTGTCAATGTAAATATGTCAATTTAGTGGCAGAATACCTCATCTGCACCTTTAGATTAAAGAGCTTTGAAAATCACAAACTTTGTAAGATGATCTCAATATACCAGTATGAAGTTGTAAGCACCATCTGGATGAGACTGAGAGTATATTAAGCCAACCTGACTACAAATTAAATTCAGAGAAAATGAATGGTTCACAATTACTCCTTTTTGCATTTCCTGGCAGGGTTCTGAAAGTTGTACAAATGTTTTGGTATCATGAGTAAAATTCTGGTAAGTTTGTCTGCTCCTTGATCACTCACTCTCTTCCATTGTCCAATAAAATATGAACGACATCAAACATTTTGCTGTCAGCTGTGTCATACAAAACCACACTGCTCCCTTCTTCCACTGGAAATACAAGTTTGTTCTTTCTTTGTGCACAACAAACACATCACACCTTTCAGCAACCAGTAATGATGAGGCTTCTTTCTTTCCAAGTCTTTATCAATGATCACTTTACTTGTTAACTGTTCATAAAATTCATCAATGAGGAAAATACTGTTTTTGGCTGCAGCACTTTTGCCTTTTGTTTACTTCTGCATAAACCTGTTGCTTTCATAGGTTCCACATGATCAATGACTTCTAACATGACAATCTAAAAATAAACTGAGCACAGTACTATACACCTAATGCAAGAAAGAACAAGCACAGACTTGTTTCACTTTGCTAAGCCAGCATCATGTCTGACAATGTATAGAGTACCTAGGAAATATCTGACAGGAAAGAAAAGAAAAAAATCAATATTTTGCCTTATATTCTCTGGCATTTTATACAATTCCCCAACATTTTATACAATACCAAATTTTGTACCTTGCCTGTAACAGAAACATATCCAAATTCCCAATATCCACCTTTCACTCCACTGAATGATTAGTTTCTCTATTCCTATAAAACATTAACTACAATGTTGTCAGGTGGCCTGGATGTAAAGCTCAGAGCTAAATGGAGGTAAGTGGTCAGTTTCATTACTCTGTCCACTTTACCTCCACTTGGAGAACCACTAGTATCCACTAGACTGGAGGCTGGGAATCCCCAAGAGCCATTCCAATAAAGATAAAAATTCTTAAAAGTATGGTAATTAATAAATAAATATAATTAAAAATATTGTTGTTTGAACTTTAATTTATGAAACAGTTGTGACAAGTGATGATGTTCATATACTTAATAAAACAAATAGCTGCACACAGTGAACATACCTAATTGCCCACAGCTTTTATTATACCTATATAATAACAAACATGCAATCAATGAAGTCTGAAAGTTGTTGATACACACCTTGGCAGCACTTTGTGGTTCTGTTAGAATAACGAACAGAAGACCAAGTGAAACTTCTTCATGGTTCTTATCTTTGCAAACAGCATTGTTCAAGGCATTTTGAGCTTCTTTTTCTGACAATCCTGATATCAGGCTCTGGAGTGTATTAAAACTTCTTTCATATTTCTGAGAACATAAAATGTTCACAACAAACATAAGCTGATCATAAACCAATAATTTTTAAAACAAAAACAATTTTACAATAAACATTATTTAATTAAAAGTATTGGTCAAGTAAAACCAATATGCTAACAGATATTACAAACCTCATTCACACAAAAATTAAAAATTTCCAGTGCTTCTGGGTTGGAAGAATCATGTTATGCATCAAAATACTTTTTTCATCATAAATTATGTTGTTTTGGGAAGTTTTGTAGACTTAATTTATTTCACTCCACATTCATACTTTAATCAAAGAATTAATTACATGACTAATCTGTTTGTATAATTTACAAGTGCACAAAGATTTTGTTGAGGACATAATAATTATGTAGACTGTCTATACTGGATTATGGCAAATGCAATATCCAATGAAGTTATAAAACCAAGGGTTGAATAATTTAAGATTGTCTCCGCTGCCAGATTTTAGCTATAGTCTTCACCAATTCCAAAAAGCAAATATGGAAAAACCTTATTCAGCACTCTTAATTTATTCCGGAAAATCAGGTGTTAGGTGAAGTGGCATTAAATAAAAATAACTTCTCCATAAGAATTAATATAATTCTCTTCATGTGAAACTTCATTGCCATCATGAAGTCACTTACCTGGATATCTGTATGTATATAAATGTGTTTTTAGCAACTGACTCCTCGGATTAAAGATCGAAAATTTGAAAGGAATTACGAATTAGTACGTACATATTCACTACAGTGTATTGCAGTCAAGATCAATGCTGTGATATCACAGCTAATTTTGCAACAAAAATATATATAACCAGTAACAGAGCAAAAATTCTGTGTGAAATCATGTCAAATATTTAAATGATAAATAAGAAAAAAAGCAATGAACAAACTGCCATTAACAAAAACCAATGTTTAAAAACAAACCTCACATGGTTATTGGGGTATTTACTTTTCATATAAATTTTCCAACATGTTATCCCTACATCTGTCTTTCAAGTTCCCGTAAGATTTTCACAAGAAAAATATATCCCACTTTATTCTCCACTGACCAATATTTAAAAAATATGCATCAAAAAGGGTAAAGAAAAATTGTAGTTCCTAAAATTCCTAAGAAATGTATAGAAACCATAACTGAAAGACTATTTGAAAGTACATCTGTCACATATCAACAGAACGAATGCATGATTTAATACAGTGGCACCTGGAGTTAATACTGAATGTTTCTTTTCTGCCACAAAATTAAACTTTATTTTTCACATTAACTGTACACCTGCCAGAAGAAAGTGAAGAAATGCTTTTTTTGTACTCAGCACTAACTTTTGCTTACTGTATATGGTTGTATTTGAATAATAACACCACAAATACAATAATATCTGATTTACTGCTATTGGCTTGTCCAGATGGTACAAATTCATGTTTTAATGTGATGTGACAAATAATTGGACTGACAATTTTGTACTACAGCTGGCAGATGATGAGTTGACATGTTTAGAACAAAAGAAAACCTGAATACAAAAGAGACTACCTGGCAGACCAAGGCATAAAGTGAAGGACATATTAAAATAGGTCTAAAAAATAAAGGTTTTGTATTAATTGCACAGCCTATGTTGTGGCTTAATTTCAAGATCTTTTATTGGCACTTCACTGAAAGGGCTGATAAAAGAAATGTTCTCTTCAAGTCAACCAGCCAGGAGAGGATTCAAACTATGACCTAATAAATGCAAACCAAACATTTATCTAGAGACTCTCAAACTTAGTAGGCCTGGTGTAAATAAGTAAGATGTTTTTAAACACAATCATTTCCTACCAGTTATTTTTAATAAGACCATACTATACAAATTTCCCATAAACTATTTTTTGCTATAGTTGCTGAACTAAATCATGGAATTATACTTCCCATCCACCCACATGTCAAGACATGTTTGTAATGACTATCATAACACACCTTCTGTGATTCATCACCACAATGAGCTCATGTCTAATGTTTCAGAACATCACTTCTATCTGCATCACATGAGTAACCACACATAATAAACCTACAGGAAGAATCTGGACAAGGAACAATGAACCATGTCACTAAGTTTAAACTTCTTTTTGAAGTGCCAAGAAATATCACACAAGAATGGTATCTTTACTAATAATTACTACATGATCTTACAGTAGCAACATACCATAACATAATGACTTGCAATCTCCAAATGAAGTAATCTTATTAACATAACTTTTATGCATCAAGCCACAATGATTCATGAATCAGTATCATGAAACTAGCAAACAACATCATAAGGCCAGCGATTTGTTATGATCTCATGCCAGTGTCTGTAGGGTCTCCCTGAAGATATTAATCACTTTTTTTGGTAACAGAGAATTTGAAAATGATTCTTAAGCAAGGCATTCAAAAAGCATGGTTTCCCAATTAGATGTCATTTTATGCAAATTCCATGGTTGGTTGCCTATTTAATCCCTTCATTATGCCTAATTTCCTTTTACAGTTGAAACAAGTATTGTGTGCTCTTCTCACAAAATAAATTGTTGCTGCTCTGCAGCTGCAGTTCTGCTTTCATGTTGTTCACATACAGTGAAAACTTCACTGCTGCATATCAACATGAATCATCCCAAGAGTCTTATAAACTCTAATTCTTGTACATTTCTGAATCAGACTGAGTTTGAAAACTTGGTTCATTACTCCCACTGCTCTGTTGTAATTTATACATTTTGCCTTTTTTATTCCCATATGTGATACACTGTAATAATCAAAATATTTAAAACAATTACTTGTTGAATAACTTTCTTATAGATACAAATTTTGCTGTAAATGGGGGTATTTCCTTTGAGAAGCCATTAGTAAGTCTTCACAGTAGAAATTTCCATGTAAAGTCATGAGCTCTGTTTTACAACTTGTACACTAAGCAATGCACTTCATCCTCTAAGTCTGCCAGGATTACCTGGAGATCTGAGAAAAGATGTGTTTTTTAGTAATGTTGCTATGTGATGCAAGCCACCATTTTCTGATTGACATTCATGCAAATTATAGATAACAGAGGAGAAAGACTGCAACCATGATGAACACCTTCATTTATTGGTTTCCATTCTGAATACTCTGTTCCAACCTTTACTGCTGTCAAGTCTTTTATAAATACTATGTATCACTGCAATTAGTTGATCTGGTATTTGATAATTTTAAAGGATTTTACAAGCAAATGGCATGTGGTGATAAGTTCATCCTGATAACTTCACAGTTATGGTACTGTGGTCATGCTATCCCACCACACATTATTTTATTATAATCTGTATGTTACCAGCCATGAGTTTCAATTAGAAATAATTATAATGGAACTTAAGTAATTCACATCAGTTCTTAAACATCAAGTAGCATTCAAGGTTCACATTGTATGCTTTTTTAACCTTAATAGGTCATCTTCTATGCTAATTAACAATGAATGCCAAATACTTCATATTTAAAAATCATAAAGAGTTATCCCTATCATGTATTAACTTATATTCTGAAAATGACAGGAAAAATTATACTTCGAGAATAAATGTCTCCTCAAATGTACTTAATATCTACATACACCCTATCAAACCAACATCAGCAAATTCACAGATATAAGTTTTTTAAGCTATCTGCAAGTACTTGGAAACACTAACAAAAAATTGTCAAACATATTCACTAAAATATCTGAGTTCTAATGGAATAAAAAACAATCACACAATATTAAACTCCCATCTTTTACTGCCCAAATAATTATGCATCAAAATCTAACAAAGATGAAGGCAATGACTTACATTAAATTCATCAGCACCTAAGTATACTGCTAATTATAATTACACAACAAGTACTGAAAACGATACAAGACACTGCACATTTTTCTCTGTTGTGTTTCTCACAGTTATAAAGGTTCATAATAAATACATCAGCTAATTTCAGCACTTGTATCCACACATTCCTTTAAATCAAACTGCATCCACCATTTGAGGGACACATGGCTTTGGACACTCCTGTGATCACAAGGCTTAAAACTATACAAATGAGGAAATTAAATTGAATCTGTAATATTGTATAGTTAAAAAGAAACACACCATACAGGACTGATTAGAACTATGGCTCACTGATAAAACAAATACACTTATAATTACGTAACAGTGAAAAGTATTGAACACCACAATTTTAACTAATCTGTGGGTGCCAAACACAACATATTTTGTTTATTAAAAACACGATAATTTAATTTCAAATAGCCCTCTAAAATGTATACTACTAGCGCCACAGTCGAGGATAAATGCAAACGTAGTTGAACCAATTCATTATGGCCGCCTTCATACCTTTCAATATGAATAATATATAAAACGTTTTTACCTCCTCAAATTCATCCTTATTTTCCACGATCGATGTAACGAATAGCTTCGGGGTTGTTGATATTGTTTGCTCCATGCCTTTACAAACAAATCGCTATTCCTAAACGCCTATGGATAATTAGTAGAGGTCCCGTTCATTCTGCTTAATTTTCCTGCCCTCGAAATGCTTTCTGAGGTGAGCGCATGGATACAAACATGTGCAACACTGAGTTCTTGGATGATAAGACGACAAAATATAGTCCTGTGAAATTCTGATATATCAATATGAGAATTCAGTACATACATAGCGAGATACACTAATCTTACAACATTATAATATCCAAAATATTAAAAAAATCACTTGGATACATCCTACACCTGAATTTACAATAGATCAAAACAGTAATGTGATGTTGCAAAAGTAGTTTCATTATTTATGTAGACTACATATAAAACAAAAAACCCAATGCTTGAAACTAATTTTATTGTAGTTGCAGCTACTGAAATGTACAAATTTGTTAGCTATGTGTCAATTTAAAACACATATTTATTTTCATTATTCAATATAACCACAAGTATTCGTACAAATTCGTACAAAATCGTGACTATACGTCGAATGTAACAGTGGGGGCAACATGTTTGTTGATACGTAACCAAGTGAAACATTTTTAGAACAGAAACTCCTCAATTTTATGAAGTAGTAACATTAGTACACCAGTAATTCGAAAATATACGTCATTATACATGTTACATATCCAAATTTTCTTTGCTTAAACGGTAAGTGTAGTAACATTTGTCTCAAAGTTAGCTATTGATACATGTTGATTGCATGGAATTGCGTTTTACGTCTGCCAAGGATAAATATTTAACACAGTATTAATAATCTAATATTTCTCATTTGGATCGAAAGTGATGTTAGGCGCAGTTCATTTGTATTTTTCGTCCTCCATAGGGAAAAACGTCACCGAAAACAATACATAACCTAGGATATATTATATATACATAAATGATGCTACATTTCTGAGCAGGGTAATTTGTAGAAGCCTTGAGGGAAATTCAATAACAAAGAGTATGAAATGTATGATAACTTATGTCTATAGAAGAGGTGGCAATTGGGAACAGCAGGTGATAACATGCATTTGCGACATCTATTAACAGCGAATTAAAATTACTACAAAATGTACAATCTAATCACGAAAGAAGTCGATAAGATTATTTCACGGCTGGTATGTTGAATATATATATAGTGTAGACTGTAGACAATATTACAGCTTGTTATAACCGGCGAAACAGTGCATGTGGCAGTCTTGCTGTGGGTAATGTGTTGTTGCATCATTTTAATTTTTGTTGCTTGTTCATTAATATCAGTTTAAGAATACTAAAAGGTGTATGTTTCTTTCTGTGTAGCTGAACGAAGCACATTTATTTTGGTGAAAGGAGATCCACATTTTTATTTTATTCGTCTTTACTACCATGCCCGAAGTGTCAGCAGAAGTACAAGGTTTAGCAGTAGGTATGTATGAATTATGGTAGATTATGCTGCCCATTTCTGAAATGGTTCATAATGTGTGTTTGAATGCGATCTGCGTACAGAATGCAACAAAATGTCTGGAGTACAAAATGAATAAAACCCAGTTATATCTTTTAAAGTTTGTGTTGGGGCCTCACAGTTTCATAGTATAAGGTTATAGTTTGCTTTCTCATTCGTCAAGAATAGGAAGGTTGGTTCTTTGTGTTTTGTAGATTGGTTAGATTTCTATTAGAATACAGACTAATCCCCTCCATTCTTCATCACTATTTAGTAAGTAGCTGCAGCAGTCCTAGAGAAAATAATAGTCGCTCAGCTAATCAAGAAATTCTGTGTATTTTATGGAAGTTAAGGCTTCATTACCACATTCACAGTTCTACCACCAGCCCTTTTCCTAAACTAGATGAATACATTCCACCATTTTCCTACAATATTTATGATCCATTTTAATATAATTCCATCTATACACAAATTTTCCAATTGATTTCTTCCCCTTAGCTATTTGCCCAATTTTGTATGCATTTCCCACCTACATGCCTGCTACATACCCTGGCCATCTCATCCTCTATGATTTGAACACCCACATATTTTGTGAACAGTACAAATTAAGGAGCTCCTTGTTTTGCAGTTTTCTCCATATTTCTGTGTATAAATATTCTCCCCTTGTTTCATTGTGCCAGATGCTTGCTGTATACTGTAATGCCTACATTGCCCTAAAGTTATTAGGTACAATAACAATTTTGGATGGTGTGCAAGTTCTTCCTTGAGAGGAGCTGTAGGGATAATTTTGGGTATTTGGGTCACAAGCATATAATTGCAGAAAATTAAGCAAAGAAACTTTGTGTTATATGTATGATGTATTCAGAATTTAATCATTTACTCTTGGTTTTCAGAAAATCTACAACTTTAAAAGTTGTCAGCATTAGATAATGCCTGTAAATGCCACACAGAAGTGTCAACTGGGCTGAACATTTTTATTCATTTCTTTTCCACATAGACAGAACTGGATTCATTCAAACATGAATCTGTCATGACTCTATCATTCCCATACTGCCACTGTCACATCATTAGAGACAGAGGAATCATGATTATCTTGATTGAGTGGTGCTAATTAAAATACCAACTTCTATATTCCATGTACATTTATTTGTGTATGGGCAGCATGTGATGAATATGTGTGTGCATGCACGTGTACATCACTTCTAAAATTGCCCTACTGGAGACACACTATACTATTATGTCCTGTTTTTATTGCAGCTGAATTATACACTTCTGACAAAAATGGAAGTGATGAATCTGGAGATGGTTCAGAAGCAAAGCCATTCAGAACTATTCTTCAAGCAATGCGTCATGCAGGGAAAGAACCATTTCCAGTAATATATGTTGATGCAAAGGTGGAGGGAGAGGTAAATAAGATATGAATTTCTGATTATATTTAATATTTTGTTGAAATTAAGACATGTCTTTACATTGTAGTGTCCAGTCTTGTTAGAATGTTTCAATAAAATCAGAATTCAGTAGGTTACAATAGTTTATTTTGTGTTCTGTAAATAAACCTGAACTTCAATGGGCGTATCATAAGGTTCTGATAAGAATACATTTAGAATTTGCAATATTTAAATGAAAACAATGTTTATTTTCTTAATCATTTATAGAAGTATGAACCTGCTGCTAAATCTCAGCTTAAGAAAATCCAGAAGATATGGACAAGGGAGGTATATAAGAGTACTGAAAAATCAAACAGGGAAGATGAAGATGCAATAAAACGAGCAACAAATTTGGAAGATGCAAAAAAGATTTGTATTAAGGAAGACATATCTTTGCCCAAAGCAAAACTTATTAAAATAGTAGATGGGAAAGAAAATCGTGGAGTACGTGTCAAGATAAATGGCTGGGTCCATCGTTTGCGAAGACAAGGTATTGCTTCTTTGTATAACTTATACTATTTGTAGACTTCATGGTTACAGTTATATAGCACAGTTTTGCTATTGTGTTTTGACAAAGCCCACTGTATAAAGCACATTTTTTAAACAAGTCCAACACAAAGATCAGTTTGTTAATGCTTTTCAAGGAAATAATCACTCTTGCACTGAGAATCATATGAAACATGTAGATGCAAAATGACTAGTTACTGATTGTAAAAGCAGATTGCATGTGTTGTTACCACTAGGCTTTAAAGGGTTATATCAGAATTGGTTCTGATGGGATAACATAATTCGAAGCAAGGACCTGAAGAAAGGTTGAAGTTGTGTTTTTATGTGTTATTTGACAAATTCAACAACAAAATAAATTCAGATGTGGTATATGTCAGTTTAAACCCCCATTATGCTATGTGCTGCCTTCAGGAAGCTCCTCAACTTGTCTACAGACAGTGAGAAGCAACACAGTTTGTTGACACCACTCTAGAAACACCTCAGATAGCATCAGTCATTCTGGAAATGCATCCCTGCACTGTCTGTAGCATAGATAAATTGCAAGAATAAGTTAACCAGGATTATGATTAGTGAAGTGACTGCTATTATTCCAGGAAATTTGTAATAAATTATATGTGTTAAATTAATCCATCTTGTGCCTTTTAAACAAATAACTCATGGTATTATCACTGATAATGTCACAGTGTATATACCTCAGGTAAGATACAGTATATCTTATCCTCTTTACCTTCATATTTGAATTGGTTTTCTTTTGATAGATTATCCACTGAAATTATGTATGTGCCTTTGGCTTTTCCCATTCAGAATATTATTTTAAAACTGTGTGTGCGCATGCATGTGAATATACATGCAAGTTGTCTACATATGCATATAAAGAATAGTTCATTCTCTGGATATAGTCCATATGGTCTGTCTGGTCTGTGTTGGGAACTGCGGCACATCTTGTGTAGGCACAGACAAAATCCCTTCGTAGAATAGACAGATTCAGGTGTAATGTGGCTTACTCTAAAATTAACAGATTCTTCTCTGAACATATTATTCATACATTTTCAATATCGCCTCTTATCATTTTAGGGAAGTCACTTATGTTTATCACATTGCGTGATGGAACAGGCTTTCTGCAGTGTGTTTTGAATGACCTCCTCTGCCAGACATATGATGCACTTGTACTTTCCACTGAGTCAGCAGTTAGACTGTGTGGATCTCTTTCAGAAGTACCAGAAGGAAAAAGAGTGAGTACTCACTCTGTTGTGAGGAAATGTAAAACACAGGTTGTGTGCTGCAAGCGGTTTAAATTGAGTGCCTGGAATGAAATGTGATGATGAATGGGAAGAATAGCATGCCATTTTCAAAAGGAACTTTTTTTGTGAAAATGAAATGAATTGAAATGCTGTATTTAAAAATGAAACCATGAATGTCACTGCCAGAAGAAATTAGCTAACATGTGCATTTCTTCAAAATCATACAGTAGTCATACAAAATCATACAAAATCATACAAAAATCATACTGAAGCTGAGCATCTTTTCTTTTGGATTTGGGCATTTTTATATGCCCAGATTAACTTTGGTCAAAGAAAGATAAGTGGTAATTGCAGTATTATTATCATCATCCCTGCTTTTATTTTAAATTTCACATCAGTAACAATATAAGACCAAAACCAAGTTATTACATTCTTTCTAGTTCACCTTTTCATATAATTCACATGTCTAATCTAGTCAATTAAAATATGTAATGCTCTTTCCTAGATATGTAACATCCTTTTTGGAATTCATATTAAATCAACAAACATTGGAAGTTTTACATAATGGAATAGGATAACTGTGTTGTAAAACAGAACTGTTTGAAGGTAATTAAGTTTTCCTATGATAAAATCATGTAGTTGTGTACTTCACTAATTTAAGAGTAGTGAAGGATGGAATACTTAACAGCTTGCTATACATGTATTTATGTGAAGGGTTAAAATCAGTAACATGTTTGCTTGCTGTCTCTTCTTAGGCACCTGGGGGCCATGAACTACAAGTAGACTTTTGGGAACTGATTGGTCTGGCACCGGCTGGTGGTGCTGACAACATTCTGAATGAAGAAGCACATCCAGATGTTCAGTTGGATAACCGACACATTATGATACGTGGGGAGAATGTACGTCATGGTTCTTGTCAGTTTCAGACAGTCATTTTTTTAATATTTCAGTAATTGCAATAATCTTAGATTGATTATTATTCTTTGATCTGCAGCCAGAAAGAATGAGTATGTGTAGCAGATATAACATGTAAAAATATTTTCAGTCTCTTTCTCACCACTTAAGTTAATGGACCGGTATCATCATCATCATCATCATCATCATCATCATCCACCAGTTTACAGGGTATTTACTTCCTTGTACCTGAGACAAACCTTGCACTTAAGGTACATAGTGCAGCAGCTATTTCTGAAATACATTTTGTTTCTGTTTTTTTGTACGTGTTACATGCATTATACAGATTTCGTGTGAGGCATTATATGTTGTTGAGATTTTTCTTTTAATATAAAATTAACTTTGGAAATGAGATTTGCTTTCAGAGGTCTTAGATATGTTTCTCTTTACCCTTCTCTGTCTTATGATAAATTACTTCCTTCATAAATTTTTAGTTAAATGGGCTTCTTCTCTGACCCAGCACTTTGCTGATCTCAGAGTAAAAGTAAGTTTTTCATATTTTTTCAAATGGATGAATTATAAATAATCTTATTTTTTATTACAGACATCTAGAATTTTGAAAATGCGATCGATAGTGATGCAAGCATTCCGTGACCATTACTTCAGTCGAGGTTATACTGAAGTCACACCACCAACATTAGTCCAGACTCAAGTTGAAGGGGGTTCTACTCTCTTTAAGTTGGATTATTTTGGGTGAGACATGATAATGAAACACTTCTCTCTTTTGTTTCAGACTTTTCTCCCTTGGTATGCACAGAAAAAAGGGAAATTCTGTAGATGTGTCTTGTATGTATTTAAATCTTGTTTCTGTTAGTGTCACAGGTGTTTGTTTTCAGTGTAATATTTAGCTGAAGGAAACAGTCTCTGCCATTCCACTGCCAGACATCACTTGTAGGCAGTGGATGAATGCTCTGTGCATGTAATCTATGTTGGAGCAAAGATGCTTTTTATTACTGCAAGTTTCTACTATCAGCTTCCCATTCTAATGCTTATACTGTCCAGCTCCCATACCTTTTTCCTTTCATAATTGAAATCATTTAGTAGTTACTTGTTCTGGAACAAATTATGAGTACAGGGTGGCACACGAGATGTTGAACTATTTATATTTAGGTTTAATTCAATATTACACCACATAAGTTTACAAACTGCATAAACTTTGAAACACAGAAGCATGGAAATTTGGTATAAACAGAGAACATGTTCAATGTGGCCACCGTTTTGTTGCACTAGCTCTTCAAGACGAACGTTCATATTCTGCACTACTCGTCAACACAGATCTTCATCGATTGTGCTGCAGACTTGTATGATACGGGCTCTGAGTTCCGCCAGACTTTCAGGATGCTGATGGAAGACTTGTTCTTTTAAGAATCCCCAAAGAAAATAATTGCTGGGAATGATGTCGGGGCTGTGAGGTGGCCAAATTCGGCCTCACTGATGGCGCTGAGGAAAGCGGTGGGACAGCACGCTGAAACACTCTATAGATTGTGTTTTTAGCGGGAGCCCACCTTGTGTCGAAATGTTTACAAAAATGTCTCTGTGTAACAATCACACTCTTTGTTTCTGCATACAAAAGCACCAACTTCGCTCTTTGTTCAACAGTAACCCCTCCCTTGTCAGCCATCTTAACCAAGTGATCAATGCTGAACCCTAGAGGGCTTTCAATAAACCACTGCATCTATGCGCGAAGTTTGAAATATCTTGTTATAATAGTATGACCACAAAATGAAAAACAAATGGTTTAACATCTTGTGCGCCACCTGTATGTATAGGACAATTGCAGTTATTAATATTCACAGTTATTCTTGGAAGCATTATAGTGTGGATCTTGAACCAAGATAACTATTTGATGCTGCATATACCAAATTTCCTCTATTATAAGACACAATCCATCAAAAGACACTCTTGATTTAGTGATTGGTATGCAGGAAAAATATGCTATTACGATTGTTAGACATTGCCAAATGTAAGATGCACCTCAGTTTCAGAAACCTTGAAATGTGAAAATGTGCATCTTAAACTCAAGGGAATATTGTAGTTCAGCAGTTTATGTTTGAGAGTGTTGATCAGCGCCACATATTTGTGTATGTTAGGATTAAAGGAACAGCGACTGCAATATGAATTAATGTCTGTTTTACTGCTTTATTTTCAGGGAAGAAGCATTTCTAACACAAAGTTCACAGTTGTATTTGGAAACTTGCTTACCTGCTATGGGAGATGTTTTCTGTATTGCGCAGAGTTACAGAGCAGAACAGAGTCGCACACGTCGACATCTTGCAGAGTAAGTGTTGATATACTTTGCAAAAGTAACTTACCTGAGATGTTTCAGGTGATGAGACAGTTGCTGTATTTTGTCATATTTGTATATAATGAATAATTGGTTACATTTAAATAACATACAACTAAGCTGTTTGTTAATTTCAGAGTATATTTATTGTATTGTCATGTGTTTTAAGGTACACTCATGTGGAGGCAGAGTGCCCATTCATCTCTTTTAATGACCTTTTGGACAGACTTGAAGACCTAATTTGTGATGTAGTACAGAGGGTTCTTGATTCACCATATGGTGAAATTGTCAAAGAACTGAACCCAGTAAGTAATCAGTGTTTTAATTGTATGTAACTTGCATGGCATATTGAAATAATCCTTTGCATCACACTTACGTAACATGCAGGTTGACAAGTCTGTACAGTATTGCTGTTGTGTGGTTAGCATTCTTTCATGTTGGTAAGTCTCAGATTCAAATATCAGCCTTTATGTTGACTGCCCTGGCAGGTTTTTGGTAGTTTTTCCTTTGTCTTCCCAAATTTGATTTGCCATTACATTTTGAAAGTATCTGATTCTTTCAGGGTTTTAAAGCGCCAGAAAAACCATTCTTACGAATGAACTACACTGATGCCATTGAATACCTCAGAGAACACAAGATTTTTAAAGATGATGGTTCTGTTTATGAATTTGGTGAGGTGAGTTGCAAGTCATTGATGTCATCAATTGGCAGATGTATAACAGGCAGACAAAACAACAATATTTTTGTTGTGTTTAATTTTTAATTGTACTTTATATGCTGACCTGTTTAGGGTATGAAAACTGGACTAAAATATTAACTATGCCATACAGCTGAAGGATAATAAGTATATGATTCAGATTTAAAAGAATGTTTGAAACGGTTAATAAAGTAAGTTACATATTTAATTGTACAGACAATTATGGGAAGTTGGAGCAGTGCATATTTCTTTACTTGGTAATTTTGAAACATGTTGATGAATTATATGGCAGGATATTCCTGAGATGCCAGAAAGGAAGATGACCGATCAGATCAACAAACCAATTATGCTGTGCCGCTTCCCCGTAGCCATCAAATCATTCTACATGTCCCGATGTCCAGAAGACAGTAACCTCACAGAATCGGTTGATGTTCTGCTGCCAGGTGTAGGAGAAATTGTAGGTGGCTCCATGCGTATTTGGGATCACAATGAATTGTTAGAAGGGTACAAACGGGAGGGAATTGATTCCACCCCTTACTACTGGTATACAGATCAGGTGAGAATGTCATATTGTTAATATATCTTAAGGGTTTTGAGTGATGACATTACAGTGAAGTAAGAAAATTAATTCCAAACATGGCAGCATTGGTATGATTTTATATCATGTCTTCAGTGGTTGCCGTGAAATTCTGTTCCACTTGGTTTGTGTCTGTAATCAGTTCTGATTTTTTTTTGTCTTGTTACCTGTTGTTCACATAACCATTATTAGTGTTAAAGGAGGGTTATTTTAAATTTGTGATCTAAATTCAATTTTCTTGTATCTTTTAATAGAAAGATACCAGTTTCATACATGGTAGATACCACTTTGATGTATTCACTGGTTTTAGAATCAGATTTCTAGGAATGGGATAAAATTACCATACACCATATTTTTTACACTTGCTGGAATCACATTTACTGTTATAAGAATCGACGTTACCTACACTAAAGGTTGATTTGCATTTTAGACAAACATTAGGGAAGGTCATACTCTGAACTTATATGGGGTATTCACACTGTACGTCTTTATACAGTCACTGAACCCTTCTACTTGAACGATTTTATTTTAGAAATTGGGGGTGGGGGGATCTCACTGCACATAGAGTAGACATGTCCCTGTCAAGTAGAGCTTCTGAACAATAGTTGAACAGCTAGTGATTACCAAAACCTGGGGTATCCTACCTGCACAGTAAATTTGGATATTTTTTCGTAGAAGACCCTTTCATAAACACGTTAATAAGGTTAAGAATGGCAAATACAATTTGCAGTAGGTTTTTCACTACTGTACAGTAAACACAACAGACAGAAAATCTATCCATCTTTCTTGTGTCTTCAATCAATTGTTTACTTCTTTGTTTCTGCTAGTCCTCATTGATCAGTAAATTTTCTGTATAATTTTTAATAGCTCAAGAAAATGTCACTGAATGAGAAAAGAAAAGAGATGTAATATTCTAATGATTTTTGCTTATTATAATTGCTCTTTAATAGAATCAAAATATAATTTATAAACGTGATTGCAGTAACTGGCACCTACTGTGTTTAAAATGTTCAATTTAAAGCTGAGTAGAGAGTTTTCTGGATTCTGTATGTCCCCATATACATAGCCTTGTATCTGATATGGCTGTTAAGATTTAATAGGAATGAAACATTGCAGAAATATGTTTTTACATAGCTATACAATTACCACGACTTTCTTCCAGAGGATGTGTCTGTGATTGTATTTTGTTTTCATAGACTTTTGTAGTTTCAGTTTCCAAGACATTGGACCATGATTTTTAAAGCAAGTCTGTTATGGTCAGGTCTGTAGTATTTTGTAACTTGTTTATATTATGTCCATTTATGTTATAAAGCTTGCTGTTGTTTCAGCGTAAATATGGCACTTGTCCTCATGGTGGATATGGCTTGGGTCTTGAACGTTTTCTGTGTTGGCTGCTGAATCGATATCACATCCGAGAAGTCTGCCTGTATCCCAGGTTTCTTGAGAGATGTCGGCCATAAGATGCCGCTCTGCAGATGGCTGTATGTTGTCAGCAGCATTTTAATTTTCTTCTAAAATAAATTGGTGGTTCCACAGCATTTCACAGACCTTCTTCCCCAAGGTCAGGACTGTGTTTCTGTTCATTTTTTCTTTTGTGCTTTTGTTTTTGTGTAGAAATACAGTAAATGATATAAGAAACAGCTTCTGCATTGAATGTGGTCTAATAGAAATACAGCAAATGTTATAAGAAACAGCTTCTAAAGTAAATGTAGTCCTACTTCTTATGTACTCATGTATAGGTATTGCAGTTTGTCACATATATACATTTGTTCTGTTCATTTGAATGGAATCACGCAATTGCTTATTTGCCTCTGGTATATTTGTCGCTTGACATGAATCTTCATGTAATTGAACAGTGTAATGAGTTTGAATAAATATGATTGATAACAGCATAAGGATTTATAGAACTTAACCTTTTAAATACCTACAACCAGTATACTGGCCACTGGATTGTAACTTTATAGATGCATATGGCGAGGAGTTAACAGGCTGCAATCTTAGGCATCCCTTGTGAAAGTCTGCATGTAAATCTAAATACCCCAAAAAAGAACTCTTTCTAGCTGAGTTTGGATGTGTTCATGCAATTATGTGAAGTGTAAAGTAATTGAGGTAATATACTGATAATGTGTGGTTTATTATGACTGGATGCTGGGAGGTTACAGGGCTACGAGAAAGGAAGAAGGTACGTATGATTTGTGGTGATTTGTACCTTGGTTTGAATATAGAATTGGAGAGTAGCTTCATGTAGCAGTCTGCAAAATTAAACTACACAAAGGATATATGCATAGGCATCTCATTCTTGGTGAAGCATGTGGAAATTCATGTTCCCCAACTATTGGACACTGTCATAATTTTGAATTTGTACAGTTTTATTATTTGCTAACAGTATCATGTTGATATCAACAGGTAGTGGGGAAAAGTCAGAAAATTTATCAATTTTTCTAATAAACGAGACTGCGTAGTCCAACCGTGAGCTCTTCCATTTATGGAGTTGCATTTAAAGTGTGGTTAAGTTGGACTGATAAATGGATTCATATTATTTATACTATCTTATACAGGACTGGACCATATCGTAAGTTTCGAATGGATTCCGCATTCCAAATGAGGGCATTACATTGTAGTCCTCAAAATACCACGACCCTGTTCTTGCAATACATTTAGAATTCTTCGGGAATATTCGCCAGGTAACGCAAGTAATTGATCGGACATTTTAGTTTTCTATTTCGCCACTGCATGATGTAGAGCGCTGCGGTGAATAGTTGTGATGCAGGTCGCAGTAGAGGCAGCGATTTGAAGTGGCGAACGGAAAGGTGCGAATGTTAAATTTGATTGTGTTGTTTTATTAAACATTTATTTGTTGCGGTTGTTCTTAAACCAAAGAGTTATATGAAATGTGGATTGCTGGAAACGACAACATGATCTTTTGCTAGTGACGTTTCTGTCCTGCACTCCCCTCTTGGATCTGTGTTGGTGAGTTCCATTTCGATTTCTCCTGACCTTTGCGTGCCATTTGGAAGGTCTGCTTACCTCTTATTTTGTGCCCGTAATTATTATAGATGTTCCTAATAAATGCGGGTCAAACGTCATTGTCTCTTATAAATGAAGAGTAATGGGCTTTGCTTCTATTGATGAGTGCAACTATTTCTTTCAGCTGCATCAACAGATAAAATGAATGTAATTTGTAGTGCATAACCTTCTTGTAAGAAGTGAAATTACTGCGTTATTGCACAAGTACGTAGAATATTATGTTTGCATCATCAGTACACAGACGAACCATTTATATTCACTAACTTTTACAAACATGCGTGTTTAGGCCCCAATATTATTCCTTTTCAATGCTTTTACATTTGGTTCATCAAGGTTATAAATTCTGTTACAGTATTTTCTAGTTAAATTTGGCTGATTAACAATAAAACGTATTTTAAGAATCATTCATTGAGATAATTAGATCCAGTTAAAATGTTGCAAGAAATTCCTATAGGAAGTTTAACAAAGCATGTGTAAAGAATAATAATTCACGCAATAAAAATGTTCTTTATGCATAATGTGTCAAACCTTTATAGAGCCGCTGCACCTTGTCCGCAGTCTATAAGCGTCCATTTTAATTTTTGGTTTGCAATTGCCGTACATAGAGAATTTCCCCAAAAGATATGTACACACAAGGTTAATATTCGTGCTTATCCATCTTTTTTTGGGACGTTATGTATATTACCACAGTTGTCCGGATTGCCAATTCCCGTCTTCGGTCGTGCATGTGGTGTACGAATTCACCGTGATGCAACTAGCTCAAGGGAGTTTACCATGTTCTAAACTAGAAATTGTTGAGGTCGCTCTTTTCGGGTGCAGCTTCTCCGTTGTGCTTATGGTGTACTGTTCGTGTGATGCACAGTGCGTTCACTGATAAAGTTAAAAGCAACTGTCACTTCTCGTACCCAAGCAGGAAACTCGCCACATTTATTCGTTCCTGTTTTTCACTTTCTACGTCTATACACTTATTAAATCCAAAACTTCTTGACGATGGTGAAGAGTCATTTGAATAAAAATTTCCTTGGATATTATCCATCGTCTAGTAAAATATAAAACGTAAAACGACGTTTCGGAGATGGGACTCTATCTCTATCCGTCTTCAGACCGAGATAGAGTCCCATCTCCGAAACGTCGTTTTACGTTTTATATTTTACTAGACGATGGATAATATCCAAGGAAATTTTTATTCAAATATACACTTATTATTTTACATTCTATGTTATTTATATTTCTTTTTTTATTATTATTCATTTAGGTTTTGCCTCTCCACCAATTTTGCCGCCCTAGGCGACCGTCTATTTTCCCTAGTGGTTAAACAGACCGTGTCCATTTTGATTATATTATTTTTTCAATCACATCAATAATCTACGGCCTTCCATCCAGTTTGCTAGAAACAGAAACACAGATTATATTTCCTTGTCTTGGAAGTTTCTTTCACCAGATACAAATCAGAAGTCATCACCAGGAACAATTTCATTTCCTTTCGCAGGAACCGAATACACCACCGAGATTTGTACTCGATTTATGTGGCTCAGGATAGGGATCGGTGGTGGTGGACTCTTGAGAACACAGTAATAAAACTTTGGGTTCTATAAAGGAGCATAGTCGTTCTTGAGAAGCTAATAGTAGCTCAACTAGTCTAACTATTCCCCTTTTATAATCATTATTAAATGGATTTTAAAGAGTGTGATGTGAGGATATGGACAGGATATTTCTGGCTCAGGATAAGGACTTGTGGCGGGCTCTATTGAACACTGTGATGAATCTTAAGGCTCAATAGAAGGTGGTAATTCCTTGCCCAGTTGATTGACTATTAACTTCTGAAGATGTTTCATGGATTTAATTAATAGGAGGCCTAGTATAATAATTATCATTGCGGCACCTTAAGGCACATGGTACATACGAAGACACTTAGGACATGCTGTAGTATCCTTCCCGTTTTCAGATATCTTTTAGTTTATTCACAAAGTTAATGTTGTACTTTATTATATTGTTGTTGTTATTGTTGAATTTAATTATCATCGTCGTCGTTTTCGTCATTTAACAGAAACGTAACGAGAGTCCCACCCTTTCAAGTAGATAATAATATTTTTGAACTTCGAATTATCAATATAATACCAGTTTTCTCACTCGTTTAAGAAGACCTACGAGGTATTTTCAGCGGATTGGATTAATAACAACGTCCGTAAAAAGAGGCGGAAGGAAACAAGTGTTAGGGAACGGCATAAGACGGAGAAGCGAGATTCTCATTCATAAAACCAGGAGCGGGGTCCATCATAGATCCTTATGGTATTCATTGAGAGTTGCCATGGAAACTGGGAAGGTTACTGAGAAAGTTGCGAACACCAACATATTTTCCAGAGAGCGAATCAGTCACAAGAAATTAAGTTGTTCGTAATGTTGGCTTCTGATTTGTATCTGGAATTTCCCAGTACGATGTCAGTTCCTCTGGGGATTTGGAAGGGGTCACTATACCGTGTGTGAATTGTAGTTGCAAGACGTTCCTATTTACGTCCAGTAGTAGAAACTGTTCGCCGTAATTATGTGAGGTTAATATATATATTATATATGCCTACTGCGTTTTCATAGCTGACTGTACTTCCGTGTTAAAGTTACTGGTTGTTTTTATGCTTTATATTTTATTTTCGACATATCAGTGGAAACTGTCGGGATTTATTTAAGTGTCAGTTAGGTATGATATTCTTCGCACTCCAGTGATCAGACCTGGTTACAAAATACAATTTTGCTTTGTACCAAAATTAAATGATATTTTACTAACTCTGAGGTCAAGAAGAATATAATGTAAACGTCTATTAATGGTAGCGTACCTGGTTTTTAAAGTTGTTATTGCCAGGCCACGCTTTCTAATGGAAGTACAAAATGTTTTCCAGCCCTTTCTTTACGCCTGTGTGTCTGAAATATGACGATTTTGCAGTTGGTAGAGTTTACGACACATTCTTAAAGTAAGTAATGAATCACTTTTCCGCTCGCATTCTCTCTCCTCTCACTCGTCAATTACGTAGTAACGATGCAAGTGGCAATTGGTAATATCACTGCGCAGATATGTGTTTCAGTCTGGGAGCTGGAGAGGAACTTGCTGCATTCGCTGTCAGAAACACAGTTCCTCCTGTGGAAGTTAACGAATACGGTGTGTTCTTTTCAAATAATTTCATTGTTTTAGTTAAAGGTAGTATCGATACTGTGACTAATAGTCACTGTAATAATTTATCGATAATTTTATAATATTTTATTTTGCGATGTATTACAATAATAAAATAACAGTTTTTGTGATTCATTCATATCAAGATGATTAATTTTCAAACCATTCTTTCATACGAATAATTTAAATGTTGACAAGTTATATGTTTGTGGGTGGTTTTATTAACTTTATAAATAATTTTATAGTTCATTATTTCCTACGACGCTTTGCAATGATAAAATTACACCAGATCTGGTGCTTATTTGATGGCTTTATTACTTATTTTTAATTTTTCCTGAGGGGCATGTAATTATTTTAGGTCATTCTCCCATACATGCTCAAGGTCCATGGAAGACAGCTAATTTAACTTTTATGCCCTCTTACTTAAATTTTAAATTGCGAATGTTTGATGTTGTTGATTATTACGACGGCCCTTGGATTTTAAAATATGTTTACACGATGTTTGAACGTTCATGACGATGGTGTGGCACTGTATATATTACCAGCTCTGTTGGACTTATCCATCATCTATGTACTTTGTTTAATACCACGACGTGCGGTAGTTGGTTCCGTTTCCGTCTTTCAGTGCCTTGCCAGAGTAGGAGGTTATCCTTCCACCAGGCACCTGAAGACGTAATTAGAACCAGGTACCGAAACATACTGGTTTTA